ACGGACATTGTTGGCGGGTTAGCCGATCCTTCAGGCATGTTGATTGCAATTTATGGTGTGAATTATTTTGGCGAAGGGACTCATCTTAATCTTTGTAGGACACGTTTCGTAGCGAACGCAGGTCTGGTGCAACTCGTCATTGAGGGGGTTCTCACTGCAGAAGTTCATTCAGTGGTTTTCTCCGGTAACGTGTGGATTCAGGATAACAACATTGTAATCATCTACGGAAAGGGTAGTAGATATATCGTAAGCAAAAGGGAGGAATATTCTTTGGTGTCTCTTGCTGTTCGTGAGAACGCCACTCTTGTGGCGTTAGATGTTGTGTCGTCACATGATGTTCATATCAAATGTGCCACGCTGCTGTCGTTTTTTGACTACTTTAAGATTGATGGTCGTTTCTTACTGCGAGGTTGCGTGACAGTTCCTCTTGGAGGTATAATTGGGGGATCCGTGAGGCATTTGAAACTCCCTGAGGACGCGGCAGTGCTCTTGCCGTGTCTTGCTGCCGCCAACATACGCTTGCCATTGGACGCAATTCCACCGCAAGGAGCGAGTCTCATTTTGGGTGGTGAAACGCTACTCCGCAATGGGGCGGAACTTGCATTAGAAGAAATCATCATGAAGAATGCGGTCCTTAATGGAGAAGGTGCTGTTTATGTGGGAGCGGCATCTATTCTTTCGATTGACCGCGGCTCAAGAATTTCCTTGCGACGTGAATGGATAATTAACGCCTCATTGACCTACGTGGAAGGGCTTTTGGAGGCGGACATGTCACTCGGACCGATGATCAGTGGCTCTCTCGACGTTGCAGGCTATGGCCAGGTGAAGTTGTACTCTGTTCAGACATCACCGTGTTTCACTGCACCCTATGCAAATGGTGGTGTGCGATGGGCAAGCAATCCACGTGTCGAGTGTTATCCCTTCCCGCTGCTGTCATTGCCAGATTCTTCCACTAAAGCATTGGAACGTGAGGAAATGGACAGGAATCGACTATTGTTTGCTCTTCCGCCAAATATTGAATGTTCGGAAGAGTTTTTACGTGAGGAGGCTCAAGGACGGATGATGCTTCAGTATTTTTTTGATATGGCACCCTTTGATCCGCCACCGGGCGTACCAACGGTGCGCGATATGATTGTTTCCTGGATACTGTTTGTTTTATTGGGTTTTACGATGCTTTACGCGTTTATGAAATTCAATGGACTCTCATGGAAACAATGGTCTGCAGAAATTGAAAAGGAGCCTCCCCTGCGGCTTACGCTCTCACGGTCAGAGTTTTCATTGCACACGATGAACTACGTAGTCCTTTCTCTTCTGGTGTTCAATACATTACAGACATCGATGGCGTCGATCCATCCGGACTTGTTTGTACCAGTTGGTTTTATGTCATCATTACGACTTCGCAGTATGCATCTGCTTATGCCCCATCATCGGGCCAACTCTCATGTTACGATGCGGTTGGCGATGATGGTCATTTTTTTGTGGGGGTTCATTGAGATTTTTTTGGCGGTCATGAATCGAAAAGATCTTCGTCGAGCGCTTTGCGGAACGCGGACAAAAGCAATTTTAAGACTCATTTCGAGTTTGAACTACGCATTGAAATTCTTCTTTTTTGTATTTTCTCTCCCCATCCGGTCCCTCATCATTGACTCGCTCGCGTGCAATACATTTCTGAGTGAACTTCCTTCATGCGCAGAGGCCCGTGGAAACTTGGTTATGTCGCTCTTCTCTTTCTTGGTGCTTTGTTTCATGGTACCACTGGGTGGCTTTTTGTTCATGACGCCCCTAAAATGTGATATACATTGTAGGGGATCGGTGTTGGTGGCTATGAACGCATTATCACTGGCTAAGATAGCCATGTGGAAAGTATTCTACCAGGATCCCGTATTGCTGATTATCAATAACCTTCTATTTCAAAGTGTTCGGGTGCTTTATTTTCTCCACTCCACCCCTACAGCCTACGGGAATATCAACAGGCTTGTGTTTCATTTATCAATTCTGCCGTTTTTTTCGCATCTGTGCACTCTATTGCACGTGATTCGTGTGTATTTGGGATTTGTCAGGACATGCCGTGACGGGGAAACATATTTCGCCGCTGTGGTGTTTCTTTGGATAGCCATGCTCGTTGGTATGCTTTGGTATGATATCATTGGCGCAAAGGATGAATCCGTGACGACAAACAACGCAGCAATTGACGCGATACAACGCTCGATTCAACAAATTCAAAGCCGAATACAGGAGTTACAATATGAGTTTTTGGCATGTGCCTCCATAGAGGAAAAAGAAAATGTATTGAAAGCCGTTGCCCGCCTTCGCATTGAGTTGCTGGAGAACCAGAAACGATATCGCTACGAGAAGTATTGTCATCTTGCCGTTTTTTATGTTACTGGGTCCATTGAGGAATCAATTTCTCTGAAGTTGCCTCTTGCCGAAGCATCAAAAAATCATTGTGATGGTCTGAATGTGGAGGCGATTCTGGCGTCACGTCTATCACCATTATCTCCAGTAACAATTGGCGATGCAAATGACAGCGAAAATGTTCTACTGACGCAAGAGGAGATGGAGAATTTTAGTTGTGGGCCTGCTCTCGGTTCCGGAAGCTATGGCACCGTTCACTTGGGTATTCTTAAATCTGGGAGGCTTGTGGCGGTCAAGTATCTCAGCATTCAGAACTCCGTCAAGGATGCCCTTTCCCAGGTGCAGAAGGAGGTGGGTGTGCTGAAGAAACTTTCTCATCCCAATATTATCCGTTATTTTGGATGCTGCACGGATCATGATTATATTTTACTGTTCATGGAGTTTGCTGTAGCGGGGAGCTTGACGTCCATCGTGAGAAATTTTACCGTGTTGAATGAATCTGTCATTCAATTCTACACTTATCAGATGCTGCTTGGGCTTCGCTACCTGCACCAGAAAGGGGTGGTGCACAGAGATATTAAGGGTGAAAATATTCTCGTGGACGGATTTGGGGCTGTCAAATTGGCAGATTTTGGCTCCTCTAAAATTCTGCCGGGTATAAGTGATCGCAGCCGGGCGGGGTGTGAGACGCTTATTGGATCTCCATTTTGGATGGCTCCGGAGGTCATACGCAACGAGCCATACGGTACGAAGGCTGACATATGGTCTGTTGGCTGCACGGTTGTAGAGATGCTCAATGGCGGAACACCGCCGTGGCGGGAGGAATTTGAAAATGTGTACTCGTTGATGTATTACGTGGGAACTACCGACAGCATCCCGAAAATACCGGAAGACACGTCGGAGTCTTGTCGCGACTTTCTGAGAATGTGTTTTCAGCGGGACACAACGAAGCGGCCATCGTCCGATGAGCTTCTTCAGCATCCCTGGCTGCGTGACGCGGGGAATCATTCAGGACTGCTACAGAAGAAACTTCCAATACGTTAGGTTCCTGTAGTCAGTTATTTCGCGGGTGCTTTTGCTTCAAAAGACAGCAGCAGCATTGCGATTGGCTTTAGAAAGACACGAGGAGCAAAAATGACGAAAAGGATCAAATGCTTCATGTAAATTATTTGGTGTTATATATATATGACGGAGCGAATACCCCCTTCCTCTATTAACTGTTATTTCTGATCAAGATATCATTATTTTTTCCTTGAATTGTCTCTTTTTGGTGCGTGTGTGTTTTGTCACCACCTCCTTTATATCAGTTGATGGGCAGTTTACGATAAACAAAACGGAAATTTGGAAAATAAACAAAAAAAATAAAAATAAAAATGAGAGCGTGTTTGTGGGAGAGGGAAAGAAAAGGAGGGGTGTTGGCGATGGAACACCCTCCGGCGATTACGATGTGATGCGCTGAGCATATGGTGTGTGGGCCATTGCCACAGCTAGTGAAGAAATGAGCGAGCGGAACGGGCAACGTAACAGAAAACAAAGAGAATAGAAGGTGACGCAAAGGGTGGGCGAATGGGGCAATAGAAATATGCATGTCACACATACGTGCACGCACGCGTTGTGCATATGTTGGAAGAGACGGACGAATGAGTTTTTCTTTTTTATTACAAGAAGGAAAGTAAGTGGTGAAATTCATGAATAAAAAGGAAAACACAGACACACAGAGACAGAAAGGAGAGAGAGAGAGAGTAGCGATGAAGCTTGATACCGAGAGGATTTCTCGGAAGTTTTACGCATTATTCTCAACGTTTCTTCGGAATGGGTCTTAATGCCATGTATCAGCCGCGGATACATTTGCTGTGTGCTGGTGTTGGTGTTCCTTTTATTAAAGTATGTCATCATCACTTTAATAGTCACTTGCTGCCACTCTATTTATCTTAAGCCTTTTCTGTTACTGTAAACGTTCCACACCCCGCAGCTGTGCTGAGGGGTCACGAGAGCCAACATCGTTAGAGGGAAAAAAAACCGATGTGTAATTTCTCTTTATTTTGACGCTGGTGACTTCTCAGTTTTTCTTCTTTTTGTATTGTTTCAAACTTGTTCTGGCTGGCTGGACAAGGTCTCGGAAGGTGGTGGTTGACTTGTTAGGTCTCTTGACGCCACTGACCACATTTGGTAAGCTGTATACAGCAGAAACTAATTCTCAAAAGAGCAATATAAATAAATAAGTCCATCAATAAATTGTGTGTGCGTGTGTTCGGGGTGGTGGGGAGGGGAGGCTTTGCTTTTTGGGCAGGCCTCAGGGGGAAGTAGAAGAAGGTCGGTGGTGGGAGGAGAAAAATAAAAACGAAATTGAGCGGCTAAACGAATGGAGTGTGAATTTATGTGTGACGATGGCGTTGCTCGCATGCTGGATATCACTGCGGAGGCGACGGCTCCTTTCGATTGTGTCTACCAGAAGAGGCTACGAACCCCCAAAGGGGAGGCAGTGGCCCTCGGTGTGAACGCGGATAAGTTGTACGTTCTTCTTGATAAGAATGCTGCAGCCTTAGTTGCAACGGCGTTTACAAAAAAGGACTTTGATGATGGGCTTTTGGAAATGCTACCAGATCTTCCCGTCGTGATAGATCCATTTGACTCGCATCGGGTAAAAAAGGATGTGTTCTGTGGCCGTAGTGTCTGTATCGTGACGCAGGATCAAAACGGTCCTTGCCCCGTGGTAGCTGCAGCCAACGCGCTGGCACTGACGGGGCGGTTAAAGTTATGCCCCGATGATTGCCGTAGAATTGAGGCCAAGGAACTTCGTCGTACGATTCTCAATTATATCATAGAGGGTAATCCGGAGGTGCCACAATTTGTCTGTCCCCCTACGCGAGTAATGAATGGTGAGAAAGTGGCAACAATGGCCGGCCTTGTTCAAAAAAGCCTTTTTGAGGCACGTAAGAAACTCGCAGAGGGCATTGAAGGTGAGAAGTTTCTGCACCGCTTGTACCACGGAATGAACATAAGCCCTATTTTTTCCGTTTTAGATGGGTTCGACGCCGAGGATGACGTGCTTCTATTCGCTCTTGCGGGGATACGCGTTGTTCATGGGTGGCTGATTTCATCAGATGATCGCTATGCAGATTTGCGTGACATGTCCTTTAATGAAGTGAGCCTTCTTGCGACACGCAATGAAACGGACGTGTCGGGGATTGCCAATGAGTTCCTCGAGAAGACAAGATCCCAACTGACAGAAGAGGGGTTAGAGGTACTTCTGCGGGAGCTTAGTGAGGGAGAGGTTGTGGTTCTCTTTTGGAATAATCACTTCTCGACCGCTGTAAAGCTTGGTGGGAGGTTACTTCTTCTTCTCTCAGATGAGACGTACGCGGACAGATCATCCATCTTGTTTGAAGCCATTGAAGATGTCCATGGTGCCGCCACGTTTACAGATGGCAATGGCGTCAATACCGATACCTTGCTTTTGGCAGTTCAGTCCTTGACGGGAAATGAGTTCAACACGGAGGCCATTTTGGCCGCGAAGACTCTGTTGAAGGATTTGGAAGGCAACGAGCCTAGCCCGGAGGAAATTGTGCATTATCTACGCGAAAAGAAACAAAATAAGGGGAATGATCACCAGGAGTGGGAACAGTGGGTGTATGAGGGCGCAGATGTTATTTTAGGAATGGGGTTTGATCTAAGTCACACGGATGCATGCGAGCTTGTACAGAAGTCTGGAAGTGTGAGTGCTGCTGTGGGTGAATTGTGTAAAGATCCTCGTGGAGAGGTGGGCGGTTTGGTTTAGGTACGTGGAACTTTGATTTTTCGCCCCCCTTATTTAAGCGAACTTTTATTAGCTGTATGTTTATTTGCCTTTTTTTCTGTTGTTTTTTTTTTTTTTGTGTGTGTGTGTGTTTGCTATTTGCTCCACCCATCCTGCCTTTGTTTTCTTGGATAAAGCTGCAGTTTGTAGCCCTATACTTTTCTTTTTTGCATTTTGTTTGTTTGTCCATTATTGTTTTTCGTATTTGTGTGTTGTGTGTTGTTCCTCCGACTTATCTGAAACGTTGCGGGTATTCCTTGTCATGTTTTCTGCCCTCCCCTTTTGTTTGTGGCACATCTTTTTGACTTTCCCCACTCTTTCATTATTATCATTATTATTATTTCTTTTTCCTTTTTTGGCGGGCGGTGCTTGTGCCGCATTTTAGCGAGAGATCTCTTCTTGTCGCCGTTTTTTTTTTTTTTTTACTTTTTTTCATTATTTGCGAGGCTGCGTTTGTGTGTTTGTGTTTTCGGTGGGTTTTAGTGCTGTCGCGTGATGGGTTTTGAACTGCCGGAGATTTTTGTCAACGCGCCCTTCACGTGGGGGCCGCCGCCGAGTGAGATTGAGATGGACGGCATGAAGGTGCGGCTGTACCAGAAGACCGACGCGATCGCCCCAAGCGACTGGCTGGAGGCGATGTTGGACCAGGCGAATGAGACGAAGCAGTTCACCACCGTCAAGGACGAGAACCGTCTCAAGGCGCTGCGCAACCTGCACGCGAAGGAGCGCCGCCACGGCCCGGAGCGGCGGTTTGTCAAGCACTACCAAAACGCCCGCAGCCACTTTACCAACAAAGCCAAACGGAACCTCACACTCCTGCCTGACACGGTGAAGGTGCCTACGGACGTTCTTATTTTTGCCGAGTTCACACAAGCGGAGTTGGCCAAGATGCAAAATCTTCAGGACGCCCCGACGGTGACCGACATCTCCCTTCATAACCGTCCCTTGGTCTATAACAATGCCATGGAGAAGGCAAGCTGCAAGACTCCCATTCGACTCGACGAAACTAATAAAGGCGAAGAATTTTTTGCGCGATCGACCACCGTGGAAGACGGAACACTCCGCGATATTCTCAAGAAAGAAGCGGCTGGAACGCATCCCATTGTTGTGACAACCGATGAGGTTCTTGCTCTCATGATGACGTGTAGTCGTGGTCTACACCCATGGCATCTTGAGATTTTTCGTTACAACCGCATGGTATTTATCTCGAAAACAGAGAAGAGCAATGTCGAGGTGCAGTGGGTTGGAGAAACAGCCGATACTTTGCGTCGTCCCGTTGAAAACGACCCCAACGAATCGGAGCGCATCACTAATCTTGCGAAGGAGTCCACAAAAGCATTTAACGCTTTTGTGGCACAGGCATGCTTGAAAACGCGGTACCAAATGAAGTGTGAAAAGAACCCCTTTCCTGATACTCAACCTCGTTTATACCGCTACCGACGATTTGTTATGCACGCTGACACGGATGATCACTACGACATAATTGTTCGATGCGAAATTGATGCGGTGCAAAACGACAAATATGTTCGCATCTTTGGTCTTTTGGAGCAGTGTGCGGATGGGGTTGAAAGTGAGTGGCGTAAGACGTTAGACTCCCAGGGAGCCAAGTGGATTTCTGACGAATACCGCAGGAACGCTCAAAAAATGTCCCGTTGGGTTTGTCTCTGTCATTTGTCGGGGGCATTGATGAAGATTGGCTTCTTGTCGCGCTCTTACAGGAGCAACGGGACGTTGGACCCGAATAAGCACGAGGTTTTGGCCACGCACACGAAGGACCCCGGTCCACTTGCCGCCCAGCTGGGCATCAAGGTAGGGAACATGTGGGCCATTGCGGACGCCATCATCATGGCTTTCCTGAAGCAGCAAGATCTCAGCGAGGCCCTTCTCGTGAAGAAGAGTGGTGGCCAATCTATTCTGCTCATTGAGAAGATGGAAGACGAGGAAGAGGAAGACGATGATGACGATGACGATGATGACGGCGGTAGCAGCGACGGAGATGTGTAATAACGGTGCCACAGCGACAGGAATGGTGGAAAGAGAGAAGTAAGGGAAGAAAAAAAAGAAAAGAAAAAAAGAACTTCAGGGAGAAGGACCTGAAGAACATTGGGAGAAATGGAAGAAGGACGGTTTGGCGACTTAAAATACACGAGGCCTTAATAATTTTAAAAAGAAAAAAAGTAGAAATTTTCAAGAAAAAAAAAACTGAAAATAAATGGTGTGATTTTGCCTCATTCTTTTGTTATGTTTCCCATGGCTTTTGTCTGAATTCTTTAAAACGGCTCTTCATGCCATGCCGACTTTTTCTTTTCTTTTTTTTTTTTTTTTTTTTTTGCAGGGAAAAGTTGTTGTTAGTAGTGTTAGTACTAGTAATAGTAATAGTAATAATAATATTGCTGCCGCGTATACCCATAAGTTAATTGAAGGAATATGAATAGGGAGGCATTGACGAAAAATGAAAAGATCACCTACTCTCTTGGTTTTGTGGGGCTATTGATCTTTACAGGCATCACCGCGGGTCTTCAGGTAGCGTTGTTTTCTATGGACCGCCTGTTTCTTCGAATCCTCACAACAACGGGATCACTACGGGAACGGCGGCAGGCCAAACGTCTATTGGGTATCCTGCGACTCGGTCACTGGACGCTGGTGGCCTTGCTTTTATCGAATGCATCGGCAATGACGGGTCTGCCTATTCTCCTTGAGGATATTTTTGATCAACTGACAGCACTTCTTGTCTCTCTCACCGCCGTTCTTTTTATTAGCGACATTATTCCTCTCTCCATTTTTGTCCGCTGGTCGTTTCCGATTTGTTCATTCTTTGTTCCATTAGTCTGGGTACTGTTGGTCGTGACTGCCCCGGTGAGTTATCCGGTAGGAAAGCTTCTGGACCGCCTACTGGGGGAAAAGGAAGATCTTCTCCGCAGCGACGAGTTGGTGGCTTTGTTTTTAGCCCAGCAGAATGAGAGGGCGTTCCTTCGAGAGTCGGAAGTCAACATGCTCACAGGAGCCTTGCGGCTCTCAAGTCACCGTGTGCAGGATTTCATTGTGACGACATGCGACAAGGCGTTTATGCTCTCATCACGAACGCGGCTGGATAAAAAAACGGTGGAGATGATTCTTCTTGCTGGGTACAGCCGAATTCCTGTGTACCTGAACGACAACCGACGGCACATTCTCGGCACCCTCATTGTGCAGTCACTGGTCAATTTGTGCTTTACTAATCCGAATAAACCTCCACGAGCAGGGGAGTATCCCCTTTTAGAGACGCTGCGTCTGCCCGCGAGCACCACGCTGTATAACTCGTACCTTGCTTTTCAGAAAAATTCATCAAATATGGCTGTGGTGTACGACAATTGTGGGGTGATGGTGGGACTGTGGACCCTCACCGATCTGCTCTGTACGCTTTACAACACCAGTCCAGCGCACGAAGGAAGCAACACACGCAGACAGGAACTTATGGTCACCCTACTGGAAAGTATGAAGGCGATGAATGCTGCAAGCCGCAAGGCGCAGGGAAATGTCAATGCTGCGATTGAATCCGATGAATTTTTTGTCGGTGGGCGTAAAAAATAAACGCGCGATCAAATAATCCTTTCCGTCTGATTTTCGCTACCACGAGAAATTATATGTCTTTTTAATATATCGATTACTTGTTGTTGTTGTTGTCGTTTTTGCTGCTTTGCATGTTTGTTGTTTCTTTTTTTTTTTTTTTTGTGTGTGTGTGTGTGCGAGTGTGTTTGTGTTCTTTGGAAATTATCCCTCTTTTTTTTAGCCTTTTTGTGTTCTGGTTGCACACAAGTGTTGCCCTACCCAGCAGGGATATATATATATATATATATTAGAAGGGAAGGAGTCGGCAGGACGACACCGAGGCATACGGCTCAACAAGGATGCAGGAAAATAATATTCACATGTCGTACCCAAACTACGTGATTGTGCATCGCGGGAGCCAGATGGTGTTCGTCGCCCTTCCAGCGGAGGCGAAGTGGATAGAAGCCCGTCTCACCTACGCTGCGCTCATGAATTTGGATCCACAGCGGACGATGCTCACGCCTCACTTTGCCTCAATGGATAAAGGCACTCCTCCTCTGTGTCCAGATGATTCACTTATTGAATGGCCCGCCTCTGAGGCTCTTCATACAGTTGCAGTTGAGGCGTCGCCGGACGGCACATGGACCGCATTGACGAGCAACTTGCGACCACTCGAGTCAAGAAGGTTTGAGCTGGAGAAAATTCCACAGGCCGTTTCGAAATATTTGACTGAAGTTCAACAAGACGTGCATCCAAATGCATAATTTCGGATAAGAAGCTGTGTCTGCACAGGATGGTGTGGTGCATGGCTGTTGTTTTTTCCACAAGACTGTGTACAACTTTGCCTCCTTCTTTTCTTTTTTTGTGTGCGCATGTATTTTGGTATATCGATTGAAGAAGAAGAGGGGTGAGAGTTATGTGCCTCATTTGGGTTTTTCCTCACACTTCTTTTTTTTCGTAAGAGTTTTTTTTTTGCTATGATTGACGGCGACAACGTGCAAAGAGAGAGAGAGAGAGAAAAAAAAAAAAAAAAAACAGAGAGACTACGTAATGCGCCTCATTGGATATGTGGATGTTGTTGAGGACGGTGATGCAAGTTATCTAGTGCTCATCATTTGGTTACGTTTTCTCCTTCCATTATTGTTTTTTTTTTCTTATTTCTCCCTCTTTTTCCCATTCTGACGCTCCTCTCCACATTGCTGTGATCATTCCTTATCATTTGTGTTTGACACATTAGTGAGGTAATTGGCTGCTTTGAGAATGGCATCCTCCTCTGCTTCATCCAAGTATGTTGTTCCTGAGCTCACTCAGGATGATGTTCCTGGTGGCGCCTGCTGCGTGGATGAAACGACCTTCGCCACGCAATTCCCCAGCTATCTGGAGAGTTACATCCGCAGTGTGTGGCCAGCTGTGGAGACGGTCTTGGGGCAGCACCAACTGGTCGGCAAACTGGATTTGATGGAAGGCTCCATGACGGTAGCAACAACGCGGAGAACTTGGGACCCGTACATCATCGTGAAGGCCCGAGACTTCATTCGACTGCTAGCCCGAAACGTTCCGCTAGCGCAGGCGCAAAAAATTTTTCAAACGGAAATTACATGTGATATCATTCCCATTTCCATGAAAGGCAACAGCACGCGTCGTTTTATTAAGCGACGGGATCGACTAGTCGGCCCCAAGGCGCAGACACTCAAGGCGTTAGAGATTCTTACGGGTTGTTATGTTCTTGTGCAGGGCAAAACTGTGGCGGTGATGGGACCAGTGAAGGGGTGCCAGCAGGTGCGAAAGATCGTTGATGACTGCATGAACAATATTCATCCCATTTACGGTCTGAAGCAGCTGCTTATCAAACGAGAGCTTGCGAAGCGTGAGGATTTGCGACATGAAGACTGGAGTCGCTTTATTCCCGTCTACAAGAAGAGTGTGCAGAATAAGGAGAAGGCGAAGGCGGTGCGAAAGGTCAAGAAGGAACGCCTCAGGGTCTCTCTGAAGAAGCAGGCGGGGAAGGAGAAGTCCATCTTTCCTCCCGCCCCGCCCAAGCGTAAGGAGGACATCGCGATGGAGAGCGGCAGGGCCTTCCTTTTGCGGCCGCAGCAGCGCAGGCAACAGCCGAAACGCGATGACTACCAGATTGAATAGAGCGCTTGTTGTTGTTGTTGTTTTCCAAGTTTGTTTTTTTTTTTTTTTTTACCACGTTTAAACCAAAAAACAACATCACGTATTACTTGTGCATAAACATGCACGCGTATCATGATTTGTGGATGGGGAGATGACATAACTTTTAATAACGTAAAAAAAAGAAGAAGAAAAAAATTGGTACAGCCTCTTTCTGATGGAACTATTCTTTTCTCTTCTTGTTTCTATTGGGTTGGATAGCGGCAGGGATGCCAACAATTTCCGAACGACGGAACCTCCTTAATTTTCTCGGCTATCGCTTGAGTGTGGAGCTGGACGACGGCTCAACGCTCATTGGCCGCCTTGTCTCTTTGGGGCCAACATCAAACTTAATATTGACCGATGTTGAACGTGTTAGACCATTGAAGCGGCGGCGCGGCAGCTCGAAGACTGAGTGCTACAACTCTGTGTTATTTGTCCGTGGGAGCAGCGTTGTGTCGGTGCATCACACAAACAATATCACGACGGACCGTAGTGTTGTGGACACGCTCACGGATCGACAGATGGAAACGTCCAAAGCCATTCAGTTGGCCAGTCAGAGCCTTAACGTGCCCTTACGGTAAGGATTTATGGTGCGCAAAGGAGAAAGAATATGTGCATTTGTTTGCATTTCCGCGTGCTTTTACCGGCGGTTTATTTGCTGTTGATGCATCGGCAAAAGGATAGGTGTGGGCAGTGCATTGAATGAAGGCGATATATCCACGTATTTGTATCAAGAGGGTGCATTTTTGGTGTTCTGAATGCAGTCATTACTATTGTAGTGAGCTTTGAGGCCGTGGCGGGCAAAAAAAATGGGCGTCGCTTTTTTTTTTTTTTTGTCTCTCTGTGTGTGTGTGTGTGTGCGTGTTTGACTGTGTGCCTCTTGCATGGCTAATTTTTTTTGTTTTCTTCTGTTCCGTTTGACTTCTCCTTCTTTCTCCCAACAGGGTGTTTGGTCGCTCCATGAGTACAGTGCGGTCCAGGGCGACGTCCCGATCGCGACTTCAGCGGCCTGTGATGCCAGCAAGGAAGGCATCCGCTGCACCGTCGTCGTTGGTTCGTTGGCACATTGGTGAAAATGGCCGTATTTCTAACTTTGACATGAAAGTACTGCGAAGAGACATTTTTTGGCGGCTTGAAAACGGCCCCCTTTACACGCTGGAGGAATGCCGTACGTTTCTTCTGGAGCTCTCACGCGTGGCGGCTGCGTGGCAGGAGGAGGAGTTTCCGCAGTTGATGTATCTTGTGGATATGCACGAGCGGTTGATGCCTGGTGTGTCACTTTCTTTTCAGTGGCCCACAGGCAATGCGGAACTCTTGCCGCTGGCGGATATTTCTGGCGTGGAGGGTAGTTTGCCGATGTTAACGAAAGTTGTGGAGGAAATGAACCGTGCCGTTGCACGGATGATTGATCGTCTGTGGGACTCTCGCAGAGAGCGTCTGATTTTTGCCGCCCGTCTGCTGCAAGATATCGAACCGCTGTTGCAGGAGTTGAGTGGTGGCGCTTTGTCAGTGTAGAGAAGTAAATACAAATCGACCTTCATGCCGAGTTGGAAGTTGTTGTTTCTTTACATTTTACCTTTTGGGCGATTTTTCACCCTCTTTTTTTTCAGGTTTATTTTACTTGTCGTTGTTTCCCTTTTATTATTTACTTATTTACTTTCTTTTTTTTTTTTTTTACGGTTTAAGGGGGCGACATGATTCTGCACGGGAGGGAGGGTGTCCCTCCGTCTGGAGTACACAGTCTCTGTTACCCGCGATATCGGCCTCCGTTGTCCACGGAGGAGAGGCTGGAGGAGGCGAATCGCCACATTGAGAAGAATCCCACCGATGTGCAGGCTTTACTGCGGCGCGCAAAGTTGTTTGTGCGTTTGGAGGACCACCAGGCAGCTCAATTGGACCTTTCCGTAATTATTGACTTACCGCGTGGGAAAAGTCAGTCGTCGGAACTTGTCTGTGCCTTTTTTCTTCGAGGCGTTTGTCACGTGAAACTGTCGTGGATCGACAAGGCCATCGCAGATTTTACAGCCGCACTTGAAATCGACCCTTCCCACAGTCGATCCACGTATGAGCGTGCCGCATGCCATAACCGGAAAGGGAACTATACCGCAGCCATCTTAGACTACGAGAGGGCCCTTCAGCATGACTCAATGCACGTAAGCTATTTTTCAGCGTGTAATCGAAACGCCCGAAGCCGATTCGCAAAGACGCGTCCTCATCAACGTCACTCTTTGCGATCTTTTGGGGCGATCGAGCCCCCTCAACGGGATGCTTCGTCTCTTCTGAATGTTGACGGTGTCCACAGAAATGGAGAAAATGGAAAAAGACCACCACCCGCACCCCCGCATAAAATGCATGTGAAAAAGTCAGGTTTAATGGCAGAGGCGTCAAGACTGAGCCATTCTGCTGTAACGCCGATTGGTAGTCCCGAGCGACATCAAATTGTGCCGGCGATAACATCGTCTTCCGCGTTACGTGGTAATGAGGAGGCAGAGCTACACCAACAGCGTGGGCTGGCATATCGAAAAAAAGGTGATTATTTGCGTGCCATTGATGAGTACTCTGCGGCGCTTAGACTTGACCCTAAAAATTTCAAGGCTCTGTTTAATAGAGGGTTTTGCAGCGACAAGGTTGAGGACTACAACGCGGCAATCCGTGACTATGAGGCTGCCATGAAGTTGGAGCCGGGGTACGCCTACACCTATTACAACCTCGGCATATCGTATGATCGTTGGGGCGGTCATTACAAAGAAGCCATTGCCATGTTCGACAAGGCCATTGCATTAGATAGCAACAATGCTGATTTTTACCACAACCGCGGCTTTAGTCAGCGCAAGCTAGGTAAATATCGCGAGGCCGTGGAGGATTATACCATGGCATTGTCTCTG